GAAATTAAAAGTGTGACAGGATGTCAGTGAAAATATAAAATGGTAGGAGCACGAAAACAAAACAGTAAAGCAGGGGAGGGAGGGAGGGAGAAGAAAACAGGGGACAAAAAAGGCCAAAGGGAAAACACTACAGAAGTAATAATACAAGGTAAAAAAGAGGCTAGCAATAGAAAGGAAATGGTAGGGAACCAGGAAGAAAAAGGGAAGAAGTGGGGGAGGAGAGGAGAGAAAAGGCAAGGTGGGGGAAAGGAATGTAAGAGGTCAGGTCAGGCAGGTACCATGTGAATCAGATGTCAGGCAGGTTGTAATGTGTCATAAATCCAATGTCTATATGAAGTCTATATAGACAATATATGTCTAGCATTGTTGCTAGAGTGGATGCAGAGAGCTCACTTGACTTGCCAGTCCCAGCATGTGTAAGAGCTGCTGCCAAAAAAGAACAGAAAAGAAAGACGACAGCATCTGAGAACCACAGACCAAATTTCTAGAAATGTTTTCCCTTTTTCCCCTTTTTTCAGACTTATCTTTGTCAAATAAAGTTTATTTCTAATTAACAGCATTATCCAATAAATTGTTACGAGTGAAAGATAGTTACTTTAAATGATCTGCAAAATATTATTTGCTATATAGTTAAAATACTATGACAGAGAAATATTAATTTGATGGGTACCATATTAACAAAATTATTTTTTTAGCCTGTATTTATTACACTGTATGCTCCCCCCCCACTTTTTTTTAAACTTAAATTAAAAATCAGACTAAAATGTTTAAGTTACCTTTCAGGTATATGCTTTGGAATTTCTAAATCAAGTGACTTCATATGCATCAGTTTAATCTCTCCTTCCATATTATTTGCTGTTATAACATCGGAAGCGAGTTCATACATGGTCTTTGATAACTCACAAGCATAAACATGAAGAGCTCCAGCCTTTTTGGCAAACATGCTGAAAAGTGACAAATCATCCAAGACATCAATTCATTCTTGTTATTATTATTATTTTTAGTTTAAATTAAATCATTCTAAAAATATCTAAATTTCTTAAAGTATCTTTATATCTTGTTCATATTTTTATGAAACAGTAGAAATCAGGATATCAGCTCTAATTTGAATCATATCAGGCGTTTTCCCTAGTATACAATGTATTACCTGCAGTAAAGTTTCTCTAAACCTATTGTAACATATTATATTACCATAAGAATATTGTGTAATGGCAGTCATTCCCTACTATATTTTAGCTTAGACACAAAGACTGCAGGGTAGCATGCTAATAACACGCTCTAGCTACTTAGAGCTTGTAACATGATCTGCTTACTTAGCTAATTAGCTCTCTAAGTAACTAGAGCTGTTTTGCACTGTATAAATGTGCACTTAAGCAGAAGTGACCTTATCGTTCAAAACAGCACGAATTCACTAGCTTGCATTGCAGTTCTTACCACTGAAAGCATTGTGGCTTTAAATCAGCATGAGATGACCAAATGTACTGCCAATGACTCATTCCAAGTAACTTATTCCACAATACAAATGACTCTTACTGGTGTCTACACCTTAAGCTTCGCTTTAATTTTACATGGAAGTCAATTTTTTACTTTTGCAATGATTAATTTAAAATAAGTGAAACTAGTTAAATATTAGCAAAAAAACAGTTCTCAGTGTAAGATTTATATTAAATGTTGATTTGTGCCAAACCTCAGTATTCCTGTTCCTGCTCCTATATCTAGAACAGATTTGCATCCTGAGTGGACCATCTTCTCTACTGCTTTCTGGTAAGTCAGATTCCTCTTGATATCATTCAGCATGATGAAGTGCCAACGTTCAACCAGCCAGTTTGCAACACGGTAAAAATTTTCCTTTGCATCAGCAAAGTCAGGATTTAGCTTCACTGCTTTATGGAAATATCCAGCTGCTTCATCCCTAAAGCCCATTCTAGCAGTAAAAATGACAAATAAATAGGGATCATGTATCACGCTGCTAAATATCTGCAACTCAAAAATGTTAGGAAAAAAGTCATATTTCACCATTACTGAACAATTCAATTATGAGTGCTTATGTTGACGTCATTGTATTCACAATTTGGAAACTACTTCATTTTGCTTAAACTGCTTTGGATTCAAAAGACTCAGCAATGGATACAAGCATGCTTTATTCTGATCCTCACAACTTTTCAGGCAAAGGTTCCAAAGCAAGCTCCTATCTTAAGAGGTTTGAAAGTAAGTGCTTTCTTTCACTGCAAGACATTTCCAGACAGAAATCCCTTTATTAAAATTATGCATCTCTATACAAACACTCTTTTCAACAGAAAGCCAAGTTAATGGCTTGCTAAAATTGAGTTATAAATCACTATTCCAAAGTCCCCAGTTTTCTATATGCTAAAAATGAAGTTTTTATTTCGGTTTGGAAATTTAACCTTCTCAAAGAAAATATGGCTAGCTTACTAAGAGAGAGATATGGTTCTATGAGTGATTTTTAAAATAAAAGAATACACAATACACACTCAGTATATGTTATATTACATACATATGCTGCTATTGTTCACTGATTCTAGTAGACTATTTCATGCTTGACTTTGGCACTGTAAAGCAACTGCTAGAACTAGCTATTGTAAGTATTAATAGAACTGAGATTCAGTATTACCTACTTAACACTGTAAATGGGTTCAGTAAAATGCTGAAGTGACACATTGGACTGGTTTCTAAATGTTCATTGCTAAAAGATATCAAACAGCACACCATGAAATAAAATAACTGAATACAGGTTTCTACCAACCTGAAGAGATGTTCCCCCATGCTGTTACATATTACTTCGTCATTTGGAAACAATTCTAGGGCCTGCTCATAGCAGTTAAACAGGTCTTGAATTCTTGCAAGAGAATCTAACTCTTCTGCCCACTTGAAAAGGGTATACTGAAATGTTTCCTGAGAAGAAACACAAATCACTGAAGCAGTGATGCATACATAAAAAGAGAATTGAAGACTCTAGAAACAAAGGAGGTAATCATGAAATCAGGCCTAAGATGTAAACAGACAACCGCATACAAATTTAAAAAAAAAAAAAAATCTTTCCAAAAAAAGAAAAGAAAAAAGGAAAAGAAAAAAGTTTTTCCTTGTCCTCACCAGTGGACCATGTGGTATGTGGTTTTGTGGTCCTTACCACTAAACCACACAAAGTACAACACTGAAGAAACATACTGAAAGCTTATAAATGTGTACAGGGGTGTAGGTTGTAGCCGTGTTGGTGTAAGGACATAGGCAGACAAGGTTCTTTGGGTGAATCTGGTATCTTTTATTAGACCAACTTAAATAGATATAATCTAAACAATTATAAATATGCACTGCACTATGCAGAGTGCAAACAAGGACTAGCAGAGCCTCGTTTTGGGGTCTACTGAACTGAAGGAGGAAACTGGACAATTTCCTGGGCAGATCCTGGGGCCAGCTGCCATTTTCACAGGCTGAATGCAGCGGGGGTCCCCCCATGCCTCTGATTGGCCAAGGGGCCCCAGCAGTCCCATCCTTCCCCACCGATTGCTGCATAGCCCTAAACTATGGCTTAATTACCCTGATTAAGCCCAGGGAAACCATTAATCCATGCATCATTAAGTGTGGATTAATGGCTGCTCTGGGCTTAATCAGTGTAATTAAGCCACAGTTTTGGGCTATCCCCAAGAGGAAGGCTCCTTGCCAAAAGTTACCAGCAAGCAACTCTGCCAAAACCATGGAGCCCACTGCTTTTCACGGAGTTTACCGGATTTCGTGTTTCCACAAAAATCGTGTAATCATAAATTGGGTAGGTCCCTACTCATTTCAATTCACTAACAACTTATAAAAGGAAGATGAAAAAAGGTAAGTCCTAAATAAGTCAACTCTCTCTCTTCTCAGCCGTTTATTAAAAGTATTGAATCGACAACACTGCCCTTTTATTCCTTAGCTTTCTTCCATTATGCAAAATAAGTTAAAACCATATGATCGTAGTAAAACCTGTTCATTAAAAGCTCCTTAAGAATGAAAAAATACAAACTAAGATTGTTTCTCAAATTATTTTAAATAGTTTATTTACCTTGACATCATTTTTTAGTTCAGGAGCAAGATTCAGTACCAGGAGATAATGAGCATAAGCAGTTCCAAAATCCTGGTTTTCCAGACAATGCTGAGCACTCTGTAAAGATCTAGAAACCAGCTCTTGTCTGCTGGCTTCCCGGCCACTTCTGAGGCCTCGATGTGATCTGGCTCTAGAATTGAGCATTTTGATCCTAGGGAAATGTGAAGCTCTTAAGAAAGAAAACAAAAAAAAAATTACTGTTACTCTACAATGAGAAGTCTGCGTATAGAAGTGACAGGTCAAACTATTCTACACGTCTAGCATGTACTGGTAAGGCATCCAAACCTGCAAAAACTTGCAGACATGCTTAGCTTTGAGCTCTGAGTAGTTCCATCGACTGTAAGGACCTCTTGTAGCCAATATAGTTAATGGCACGTGAAAAATCTTCAAAGGCATAATTCAAAGGTTACATATATGGTTTATTTGTTTACCAATGCTCAGAAAAGCATATAGCCCACCTCTAAAATAACCAACTGGTAATTAGGTGTGCACTGATGGAGAATTTTTGGGCCAATACCAGTGGGAGATTTTTAATGAGCCATATGAGCTGATACCAATCCAATTTCGATATGCAGCCAGGCAACACAGGGTGGTGTCTGGCTGGTAAATCTGTTGTGGGGGAAGAGATCGGGGGGGGATTTCAAGGCCCCCCACAGTGAGGGAGTGGGGCAGGCACTGCACAGCCAGGGCGGAGTGCAGGACAGAGCTGTGAGTGCCTCTTCTAGGAGGCATGGGAGGGGGTGGCTCCTGCCACTGCATGCACCCTGGGAGGACATGGGGGGGCATGTGCCCCTGGATCTGTGCATGGAGCGAGGGCAGGCTGATGCTGCAAGCTGGGGCCAGGGTGGCGCCAGGCTCTTCTTGGTGGGGGGGGTTGGGCCAGGGCTGCACTCAGGATGGGCAGCAGCGCTGGGAGAGGGCTGGGGGGGGCTGCAGCCACCCCAAAATTTGCTGTAGCCCCCCAGTAGTCCCCTTCCCACCGCTGCTGCCACATGCCTGGCCCAGCTCCCGTGCTCCATGGACGAGCCACTTGCAGCTCCATCCCATGCCCACCCTACCCAGGTTGAGCAGTGCCTGCCCCTATCCCACTGCCTCCCTCACTGCAGGGGCCTCTATCTGCCCCCCCCACGCCCCTTCCCTCACAACACTTACCAGCCGGACTCAGCTGCTTTTCACGCTGCTGGGCTGTGCTTCTGGGTGCCCGTGTGCTGTGCTGCAGCTGCGCATGCATGGGGCATTTATCAGTCACACCAGCCAAAAAAAGCTGATTGCCAATAGAGTCAATTTTCTTTATATCAGTGCTCATCTGATACGGGACCGATGAATCGGTGTACCTCTACTAGTAATTATAAACAGATATGCTTGCAAAACTTCAGCCTGCAAGTTGCAGGCTGCCTGATGCAACTGACAAGGCAAAGACGACTCCCCTACTCAAGCAGTACTGAGTGCTGACACCTTACGGTAATTCACACCCGCAAGCAATAAGTTAGTGTTCTTTTTCATAACCACCCAGTGTTAAAATATAAGAACTTGACAAATCATGTCAAAATACAGGGATTCTATACACTTGAAGTCTCTGGGTGCAAACAAGCATTTGTGGCACCCAGCTCAGGTTTAGGTGGCTTAGTGTGAGCCTGAGCTGCGATCCCATGTGTGCAAATGTTTGCTGCTGGCTGGGTGTAAACAGCTGCAGGTAAGTAAATTGGGGGCTAGGGAGGATGCGTCTGGTATGGAGGATAGGGAGAAATAGCCCTGTCAGGGTCAGAAGGGGTGGGGTTAAAGCAGGACAGCTGTGGTCAGGTGAGTTAGCTACTCCTAGAACAGGTTACCACAAGTGAATCTAAACTAGGGTTACCATACGTCTGAGTTTTCCCGGACATGTCTTCTTTTTGGGTCCTCCCATCTGTGTCTGGGCGGTTTTGTAAAATATTAGGAAGTGCCTGGGCTTTTTCTCTGCCTCTGCCCCAGCAAGGAGCTGCTTGGGGATGGGGGCAGCGAGGGAAGGTGATTGGAGGCAGGGCATCAGATCCAGTATGCACAAGCTGGGCAGCTGCAAGTGTGCGTGTATGTGTCAGTGCTGGGGCAGGCAAGGGGCTATGAGTCAGGAGTGAGGAATATCAGCAGGGCCAGGTGGGCTGCGGGTTGGGAGTGACGGTACTGGCAGGGTCTGGGGGGCAGGGTACTGAGAATTAGGAGTGAGAGGGATCAGCAGGGCTGGGGGCCAGCAGCACTGTGGCTTGGGAGTGACAACAGGGGCAACAGGGCATGGGCATATCACTGCTGCCCCCCGCCTCCCCCTCCCCATCATATACCCCTTCTTTTCCCCCCACAGGTGTCCTCTTCTTTGAAACTGAAAATACAATAACCCTAAACTAATTTCACCACCAAGGTGAACTGACTCTCAATGGGGCACGCCACTTCTAGGGTGACCCGAGCCCCATGCACACCAGGAGACTGCCCTAACCTCAGCCACGAATGCTGCGTGCCCCCGGAGGCTGGGGGGGCATGGCGAGCTCCTGCAGGTGGCAGCAGCACCGTTGATGACGGGAGCATGGCAGAGGCAAGTGGGGAGCTGCTGCAGGGCTATCGGCGATGGGGAGTTGAGGTGGTGGCAAGCACCCACCGGTAGTCGGTGACCACTTGCAGACACTGCTGGCAGCGATCGCAGACTGCCCGCAGAGACCACCGGCAGTGTTGGCGGCAAGGAGGGGGGACATAGCGAGTGGCAACCACTCACAGGCGCTGCCTTTCCACAGGGGAGCACCACCACACTCAGGGGGGTGCACATGCACCTGCATGCACCCTCTACGTGTCGCCAATGACCTCAGCTAGAGCCACCAAAGCATAGCAATGAGACATCCGCTGTCACTTGCCTTCCGGTGACCACTGCTCCAGGCTTCACCTCCGCATGCCGCTGCAACCCCCACGCAACTGGGTTTTCACACGAGGCGCTGGAAGGGACAAGAAACAGCAGGTGAGAAGCAGGGATGCACCCCTCCAGTTATTGCAGAGAGTAAAAAGCAGCGCGGCTGCATCATCCGCCCAGCAGGGCCGGGCCTGGCCCGGGGGTAGCTGCAAGGCTACAACCTCCAGGGCCCGGGGCACGCGCGGGGCAGCGCAGTGGCAACGCGTGCTGACGTCAGAGGGTCTTGTGGGGGCGGGAATCGAAGGCTGTTCCTGGGGAAGTCTCGTCACCTCGGCACTGACTTCCCGGCCGCCGTCGTTCACCCCCCGCGCAGGGCGGAAACAGCACCTGGGCGCCGCCATCTTAGCGCCGGAAGGAACCCTACAGCCTGACCGGGAGGCCTGCGAAGCTGCGTTTCCCACTGAGCATGCGCTGCAGTCGCGGCATTTCAGTAGTGAGCATGCGTGGCGAGCGGGACTAAACGGAGTTTCTCCGAATGGGCGGGGCCGCGTGAGCGGGCGGGGATTGGCTAGTGGGAGGAGCAGTCGGTCCTGGGGGCGGGGCTGCAAGGGGGTTAGGGAACCTGTTGCGGCCTCTTGGCAAGTAACTGCCCCTGCATAGTCCGCAAAAGCAGGATTTTAATTTGGATCTTCATGATTTCTCAAGTCTATTTTCAGAATCACTTTTTAACACATTTTGAATTCATATTTTTTTACTTTTAATTATTTTGTATTTTTTAACATTTTTATTGAATTGTTTTTATGTTCAATACAATCATGGCATGCAGGACTGCGGAGGCAGTGCAAGGCCCTGAGGCCTGAATGTTGCTCTGGGGCCCAATCCTAGCATGTGGGGGACCAGCAGAGGCCTCATGGGGCCAATCTGAGCCCTTGGGCCCAATCCCATGAACCAGCCCTGCACCACTCATCTGGCCCACAGGGCCAAAAGGTTGAGGTCCACAGCTGTAGGTCAGTGGTTCTCAACTAGGGTGCTATACATCCTGGAGTGGCTTGACAGTCTCTTAAGGGTGATGAAGGCTGCCATGCAGTGTTAGCACAGTTAGGTGAGCAAACGTGACTAATAAAGTAATGCCAGAGGTTTCAAAGAGGAATCCAGAATGCTAAATACATTCTGACCAATTGGGGTCTTTCTGAGGTCTTTACAACAAAATAATTGCTCTGTTAATTTTCTGTAGTCAGAAAAACAAGTGAAAACTAGGCACTGGCATTTTTGAAGGGGTGCTTTGAATCTAAAAAGTCTGAGAACCCCTGCTCTGGGGCGGAGTGCCTTCAGTTCCCACTAGGCTGATTCCCTGTTTTCTTAAGCTGCTTTTACACTGGGGCAATCCCACTGACCTCAGCACAGTGATGTCGCAGTATCTGGTGATTTTTAATTCATGTGGGTTATGACTCTGCAAGACGCTCAGTTCCCTTATGCAAGCTAGTAAGCCTGAATCTTGCCTTCCTTTATTGTAAGCCTCCAGCAAAACACGTTAACCTCCATGGACACTCTGTCACTGACCTCGGAGTAGCTGTTTTTAGACAATGAAACTTTAAAAAACAATTTGAACAGCAAATTGTGAAACAAAAATCATATACAGACTTGATTTTTTTAGCTGGGATCCAAACTGAGATTACGAATTCTCATCCAATTACCTCGATTTGCTTTTATAGCCCCTATATCCCTCAGTGGGTTAACTACTTTTTCTTTCTTCTACATGCTTGCCTCTCACAGCAGTGTCCCTTCCTTTTTCTTCCCCACTTACGCTCTCCCCCTTTCCTCCCCATTTTGTATCCTAATGACTTCATATTTAGAAGTTTTGCTTCCTGCAATCCCTTCATAACATCTAAAAAAATAAGCTGCTGCTTACAAAAGCATATGCATCTCTGATTTAGTTAGCTTATAAAGTGTATGGGCTGCCTTCTACCTGACTTCAGACTAACACAGCTAACTACCTTTCTTTGTAGTTCTGCAGCAATGGATGTACAAATCACTGTAATCTGTGGAAAATGTGTCTAGGATCAGAAATACCTTGTGGGAGAAATGGTTCTTGCCTCTAGATCCTGTGGAGGTCTCCAGCACAGAGCTTCGTTTTTCAGCCTGGGATTCTACATTTGATCCCTACTACTACCCACCTTTGCCAGTATTGTTAACTTCTATTAGAATGCAAAAGTGCCACATCCAGATAAATTTCTTACTACTTTTCTAATGTTGTTCTATTTGGTGAAAACTTCTACTAGAAAACCCTGGTGGCCAGTTATGATTGTTCTTTCTTTCATTACTAAATCTAATAGAAATTCCTTGTACAAACTTGAACTAAGATGGGTGCTCTGTGGTAGAGGTAGATGGTGCTAGTGATTAGTGCAAGCACATACTACTTCATGAACTGAATGCGTTTATAATTTTAACTTTTCACAAAAGAAGAGCCTAGAACTATGTTATTTCAAAATTAACATGCATTATCAATGGAAAACAAAAGAGAATGGGATTATTTGTGTTAATGAGGAGGTGATGGTTATTAAATTGTCTTTTAAAAATAATGGTTTCCCGTTGCAAAGTACATTTTTAGGCATTAAGGCTTTGCTCATTATTTGTTTTCAAAGGGTTGGTTATGAGACATCATTCAGCCAAGTGACATCTTCATTATAATTATTTTTAATTATTGCTCTATATTTCTGTTACACCTTCCACCTCAGGGTATGAATGGCTTTACAGACATGAATGAATTACAAGATACATTTTGCATTTGTAACCTAGACCTGGGATCCTAGGACTCACTAGGGCTTGTTCAGCCCCTGGCACAACTGAATGCAGCTTTTGGGCTCCTTGGATTTGCACCAAGCAGCCAGTTTTCCTTAGGATCAGAGATATGGAGATTGCACTCCATATCTCTTAACCACATCTTTTCCCCAGCCACGCAGAGTGTTCTTTAAGGTTCTGAAAGAGTGGCTTGTGTAGTGGGTTGTACCTATTTATTCTTCACTGACTGTATAAAGCAGTCTAAGCTTATTTTTCACTGCTTTTTGCAAATGGGTTAAGCCATAGTAATGAAATTCACATTTTAAAACAGTATAGCGTAACTGTTGTAGGAGTTTGCACCAATTTAATTTTATCACCATTACCTCTTATAAAGATCTGGGGTTTGCATACATGATTTATTTCTGCATCTCATCTAAGGGAAGGAAAATTCCTATTTCAAAATAAAGGTGTCAGGCTTGGGCCACTGGTCTGGAAAACTCATCTGTTAGATATGCTCCTATGAACTACTATTTTGTGTGTGTACCTTGGAGGGTTAGGGCATTCCCCATAAACAACGTATAAAAGCTTTGCCCAGCTGTTGTAACCTGGCAAGGACTACTGAGTGTTTTTTGTGACTGTAACTACAAAAGCTAATGAGGATATTGAGATCTGCAAGTTAGAAAATCAGAACATTGATTGAAAGGATCTTGGTCTTACAAAGGAAAGGACTAAATGTGATACACATTTGAGAGGCTAAGTGGAAAAGTTACAAAAAACTGTTAGTGAGTGGTTATCATGGATGAAGCCATACAAAAGTATACTCTGGAGGCATCAGACCAACTGAAGAATAATTACTTTTGTTTGGAAGAGACCATCCAATTAAAATGTTGAAGTGGGTCTGAATGCATGCATTTGCACTGGAAAGCCTGAATATGAAGCAGTACGCGGAGCACACAGTTTTGGAATTCCAAAGCAGAAATTGTATTACAGCCTTGTGGGGCACTGGACTTGGTGATTCCCAACATTTTCCATCAGAAGAAAGCAAGTCAGCTCATAACCTATGCCTGCAGAGGACATGAATCCTAAACGGATTTCTTTTTAACAAGAAATATGTCTTGAATCTGAATAATCAATTATAGGCTAATGCCAGGTCAGTTCAGTCTGAGCCAACACAGACCTTTTCTCATGGCCTGGAATAACAGACCTCAAAAACTTTAATATTAGAAAGGCCTAACTAGTAGAAATTTAAAGATGGAAAAAAACCCAGATAATTTAAAAAGAATATGTAGATTTTCTGACTACACACTGGAGTCAGAAGGGTTGGAAATGGCACTAATAAAATAAGTCAACTGGGTTGGAAATGGCATATGAAGTCCTAGATTGCAAGGTTCTCCATCTTGGGAGGAAAACCTGCAGCATCTGTATAGGCTCAGCAGTGCTACACTGGTTAGCATTATGGCAGAAAGAGACTTGGGGGTCATCATTGACCACAAAATGAACATGAGCCATCAATGTGATGCTGCGGCTAGTAAAGCGACCAAAACGCTGGCTTGCATCCATAGATGCTTCTCAAGCAAATCCTGGGACATCATTCTCCCCTTGTACTTGGCCTTGGTAAGGCCACGGCTGGAGTACTGTGTCCAGTTGTGGGCCCCACAATTCAAAAAGGATGTGGAGAAGCTTGAGAGAGTCCAGAGAAGAGCCACGCGCATGATCAGAAGTCAGGAAAACAGACCTTACGACGACAGGCTGAGAGATATGGGGCTCTTTAGCCTGGAAAAGTGCAGGCTTAGGGGTGATCTGATGGCCACCTATAAGTTTATCAGGGGTGACCACCAGTGTCTCGGGGAACGTTTGTTCACCAGAGTGCCCCAAGGGATGACGAGGTTGAACGGTTAAAAACCATTGCAAGACCATTTCATACTGGACATAAGGAAGAATTTCTTTACTGTCCAAGCCCCCAAGGTCTGGAATAGCCTGCCATCAGAGGTGGTTCAAGCACCTACATTGAACACCTTCAAGAAAAAATTGAATGCTTATCTTGCTGGGATCCCATGACCCCAGATGACTTCCTGCCTTCGGGCAAGGGCTGGACTCAATGATCTTCTGAGGCCACTTCCAGCCCGAATGTCTATGAAATCTATGAATCCATGAATACCACCTGCCTTACAGGCAGAGGTGCTATTACACTTAAGTAGAATTTTAGATCATGGATGAAGGCGCCATGGAGACACAGATGGTTCTCATCACTTAATACTTTGTGGAGGAATATGAGACGCAGGTTAAGCATAAACTGTTGTCAAATGTACAGAGTAAACACAGCTAAATTAATTCTAATGGTTTACAGTACTAGCCATCTTTTATTCTGTACCAGTAGGAAGTAAAAAAAAAAAAAAAAAAGGGAACGGGCGGGCTGGGGGGGGGGGGGGGCAGGACTCGATGATCTTCCGAGGTCCCTTCCAGCCCTAATGTCTATGAATCTATGATTGCTGAGTTAGATAAAAATGGAAACTTGGTGGTAGAATTGTTAAGTATATTCAACTAAGAAAAAAGCACGCTTTATAAATTTGCAGGTCAGAAGTTTGAATGTCATTGTGGTATATAACAAGTAAAAAGGCTAAAATAAGCATATCAGTACCTACAAGAATAATTAGTGACACATTTTTAGCTCAGGGGTGCTCAGATCCAGTCCCTACCAC